TCTCATTCTGACGGCACCCATCCACTGCAGAGGATCCATTGGTGAGCAACTGATGGAATGTTACATTTCTCCAAATCTGTTTCCATGAACAAACAAACTCATCTACCTCTTGGATAGCCTGAGGATGAGTACAGCAAATTTAAATTTTTAGGTGAATGTTGCTTTAAATGCACAATATGTAAGATTTTTTAAATAAAATATCCAAAAACTATAAACAGTGTTATATATTTTGCTGACTTGTGTACTTACATTATCCCAAATGTTTCGAAGAATGTTTAAATCCAGAGAAATAAGCAATTTTAACTAGTGGCAAGGAGTCCAGTCGGATTGCATCGGCTGTGGGGATGAAGACGACAACTCCCATGATTCCACACTCAGTCATGGCGTCATCAAACTACGCCTTTGTCTCTTTGTTTATTTTGAATACGCGCCCTCTAGCGGCGAAAATTACATATTGTGCCTTTAAGGGGAAATTCATAATTTGTTCATCTCACTTCTAAAGAAATAGAAAGCTGAATAAGTTTTGACAACACTTTAGAGATCTAAAATGCGGGCAGAACTGCATTTCTTTAGAAGCTAGATGAAAAATAAAAGTACGTGCATAATGCATAGTTGTCTGAATTAGCTGAGGATATTGGGGATATTTGAGACACCTCCCTATCTTCTGTGTTGCTAGTATAATTTTTTATATGAAAAATTGGATTAAATTAAGGTGCAGGAATATGAAGCGCTTATTTTTCCAGTTACTAATAAAACCAACTTCATTTCCATAGTGTTTAAGTTAGTTTGTCATTCTACTTTTGTTTCCATAAACATTATAATGTCGTCAGCAGTTGCGATATTAAATTCCAGCACATGGAGGCAGTGTTGTCAAACTCCTTCAACAAAAGTGCAAGTCTGAGACCATTCAAAGACATGTTAACAATATTTTTTTGCATTACCAGTAGCCTATTCTCCTTGCTACAAAAAAGGCTTTATTTAAAGTGTGAAAAAAAAAGTGACATGACATGTGGCCAAGTATGGTTAACCATACTCAGAATTAGTGCTCTGCATTTAACCCATCCTAAGTGCGCACACACACAGCAGTGAACACACACCCGGCGCAGTGGGCAGCCATTTTTGCTGCGGCACCCGGGGAGCAGTTGGGGGTTCGGTGCCTTGCTCAAGGGCACCTCAGTCGTGGTATTGAAGGTGGGAGAGAGCGCTGTACATTCACTCCCCCCACCTACAATCCCTGCCGGTACGAGACTCGAACCCCCGCAACCTTTGGGTTACGAGTCCGACTCTCTAACCATTAGGCCACAACTTCCCCTTAAGTTCCCCTTAAGATTTAACAATAATTATCATCACAATGCTCACTGTCTTTAGGGGGGGGAAAAAACGAAATGACAGTAAGTTTCTATTGAAAAAAAAAACAACTAAGGGAAGCTAAAAGTGACAAAACCTTAAAAAAAGAAGAAGCTGGAGGTGTAAAACAAACTTATAGTG